GCTGGGACGAGCGGGGCGCGGGCGGGGCCCCAGAACAGGTCGCCTGTCCCTGTAATCCCCCAGGCCTCTGAGGAGCTGCTGCGCGAACACTACGCCGAGTTGCGCGAGCGCCCCTTCTACGGCCGCCTGGTCAAGTATATGGGCTCCGGGCCTGTGGTGGCCATGGTGAGTGCCCGGCGGGTGGGCGACCTCGGGAACCCCTACCCACACCCCAGCCCTGATGCCTCCCACCCGCGCAGGTGTGGCAGGGGCTGGACGTCGTGCGCACCTCCCGGGCTCTCATCGGTGCAACGAACCCGGCTGACGCTCTTCCTGGTACCATCCGAGGGGACTTCTGCGTCGAGGTTGGCAAGTAAGGCTGGCCCAGGGGACTGTCCCAGCCAGGTCCCACCTCCCCAACTCGGGCCCTCATAGGTCCCTGTCCTAACTCTCCTTATTGCGGCTGTCTGCGCAGGAACATGATCCATGGCAGTGACTCAGTGGAGAGTGCCCGCCGTGAGATCGCGCTCTGGTTCCGCGAGGAGGAACTACTGTGCTGGGAGGACAGCGCTGAGCACTGGTTGTACGAGTAGCTGCCTAGCTGTCAGGCAGACTTACATTTCAGAGGGCTGTGGCAACTCTGCATCCTTCAGGCCTGGGTGTGGCCAGACTCTGGGTCCCATGTCAGGCCTTGGAACATCCTTTCAGTGGCAGGGACCGTGGTACTCTGCAAGACCTCCCTCAGGGAGGGTAGGTGCACTGGGCCTTCTTGCCGAAGGTGCCACCACACACAGCAGTTGTGTAAACATACCAGAGCAGCAGCCCTGGCACTGATCCAACATTTCTTTTTTAATAAACTGAAGAAATCTTTGTTGTATTGGTTGAGGCCCAGAAACAGAGGTAGTACCACGTTAAGACGTTTATTACATACAGAGCAGATATGTGGGTTCACTTGCAGGACCAAAGCCTGAGGAGAGTCATCACTGGGCCCCTTCCTCGAGCTGTGCCCACCCAGCTAACCCCCAAGTCACTTCACGATCCTGTGGGAACAGACAAGGGACCTGACATCTTACATCACAGTGGAGGTGGCAGGGTGGTGGGAAGCCTGCAGCTGCACATAGCTGCAGTTCAGGGTGGCCAACTGGGCTCACGGGACAGTTCCCCGAGGTCTGTGCTTCTCTGGTGGGAGAGGGTAGGCAGAGGGGCTGGGCTGCCCTGCTCAGGGCCTCAGGGAGCAAGAGAAGACCCGGGCTTAGGAAGGTGGGGAACAGGCCCACCCACCCAGGGAGGGCAGTCCAGGGTGGTGCCTCCCTGCCTCCCCTAATGCCTAGAGCCTGGCTGGAGGTGACTTCTGTTCTCAGCCCTCTTGGGCCTTTGCTTAGCAGCCTCGTTCACCAGTTGCTCTAGAAGGCCACAGCAGGCCACCCTAGGCACTTAGCATGTCTGGGAGTTGGGCTCCTTGAAGCCCTGTGCAGGAGGCAGGCCCAGGAGCACACCATCCTCCATCAACCTGAGGCTGAGCCTGTGTCCTAGGACTGACCCCAGGGGAGGCCAGGGGCCTCCCCTTCATCCTGAGGCCTGGGCCTGCCCTGGCAGCCTGAGAAATTCCACCCTAGGGACTACTGGAAGGGGCAGGACTCCAGGGTCCTGCTCCTCCAACGTGAGTCTTCTGCCTAGGTAAAGCCTGGGGGGGCACAGGTCAGTGAGGGGCTCCCACACTGGGGATAATCGTGGTCTTTGCTCAAGCAGCTGCCTCAGGGTGCCTGGCCCGTGCTCTCATGCCAGATCCCTGGGCAGGGGGAAGCCAGGAGCAGGGGCTGGGGGAAAAAAGCCTGGAAAGAGGGGAAGCCCCAAAGGCTAGCTGGGGTCCAGGCACCTGGGCAGCCTGAGCCCCACCTCCCTGGGCAAATGCTAGTCACTGCCACAGTTCCCTCAGGCAGAACAAGGGCCTGGGAGACAGGGTGATCCCCCCACCCCCAACCTTGGCAGCATGCAAAGGAGGTGGGCTCAGGGTGGGAAGACTCAGGCATCACCTGCAGCAGCTGCCTACCTCGGATCCCACCTCATTCTGGCCCTGAGGTACCCTGGAAGTTGAGGACTTTGGGCTGGACACCAGCCAGGAGCCACTGGCGAAAGGGCGTCCCTGAGAGGGTATTCCTCTCAGGTGGGAAATGCCACCCACATGGCTGCACTCCTGCCAGCTGGGGGGCCGGGCCTCAGGTGAAAGCTGCAGGTTGAGAGGTTAGAAGAGGGGCGGATGGCGCCTGGCTGCCGCTTGGGACAGTGGGCAGACAGGTGGGCAGGGGTCCTATGTACATGTTGGCATCAGGCAGGGTGGGATGATGGCAGTGGCCTCACTCGGGGGTGTAGGACACCTGCCACACAATGATGTGGCTGCGCTCCGCCTTGGACAACACGGGCTTCACCTGGCTCACATCCCCGCTGCCTTCTTCTGTCTCGTCATCTTCTCCATCTCCTGGAGGATAGGCAGCAACTGTGAGGGTCAGGCTTTTGCTGGCCAGCACTAGGCCTGCCTCCTAGCCGCTGCCTACTCACCAATGCGGAAGTCGATGTAGCCTTCCCCACCACTCAGCACCAGCACATTCTTCAGCTTCCGGCTCTCAGCATCTGATGTGGGGGCAGCTGGCCCAGGGCTCTCAGATGGGCTGTCCAGCACACTCCCATTGAGGGTGGCTAGCACATTCCCTGTTGTGGGGCAGAGGGACCTCAGGACAACAGCCTCTTGAATGGAAGCCCCAGCTACACACACTTAAGAGGGGTGTGGGTGATGCAGGGACAAACTCAGCCCAGCCCTCACCTGGCACTGAGACAAAGAATTTGACAGCATCACGGTGCCCATGGAAGCAGAGCTGTGCCTGGGCCATGGAGCAGTAGGGGATGAAGCTGCTGGCTGACTTGTCACTGCTGTCATCACCGTACACATGGATGACGCCCCCTGGGCGGGCTCCCTCCCCAGATGTGGGGGATGTCTTGTTGGCTAGAGATAGAGAGGGCCCTGGATGGGGTGCTAAGCTTGCAGGTTGGGAGCCCCAGCTTTCCAGCAGGCAAGGGGCGGGCAGGAAAGTGCTTGCCCTGGGCCCTCAACCACAGCAGGCAGGAGCTCTGGACTCACCTCGGAGCCCCAAGAGCTGGCCTCGGTGCAGGACCACAGCTGGGTAGGGCAGAGCACAAAGGGGGAGGTGGTCAGGGGAGACTGCATTTGGCTTCAGCCAGGCCAGCTGGTATCTTGAGTGGCCTTGTGGAGCCAACCCACCCAGCCATCAGCATCTTTGTAGATATCCCTGTGGGGTCACTCACTCTCAGTCAGGGGGATGGAGATGACAACTCCATTGCCAGTGCCCACCCAGAGGCGGTTGCCTGCAATGAGCAGAGCCGTGATGCGCACAAAGGAGAAGCCCAGCTTGCCAGTGCCTGAAGTGGGAGTGGGACAAGCCAATCAGTGTAGCCGGGACTAGGACCCCAGGCACACACACCTCCTGCCCGGCACAGCCCCTCACCCAGCATCTTGCTGACATAGGGCTCGATGTCCACATCTTGCAGGTGCTGGTGGGTGTGGGCATGGTAGAGCCGCAGGGTAGAGTCCAGGCGGATGGATACCCACACCCCATCGCCAATCCACGCCAGCTGCCGCACCTGGCTCTCCCGCCTTGGGTGAGCGTCAAATGACTTCTGTGGGATAGCAGCCCATGAACAAGTAGGTAAAAGGAAGGATGGGGAGGAGAACCCTGAACCTGCTATAGCCCACTCTAACCTCTAGTCTGGAGCCTGCTTGGCTCCCAAGGATCCAGGCTCTCATGAGGAGCCTGAGCCTGGGGATGGCACAGGGAAGGGCTATAGGGCCCACACAAGTGTCTCCCAGGCTTCTGCTTCAAGGGTGGACAGCAGAAGTCAGGCTCCAAATAGGTTGGCATTTACAGGGTGGCTGCCCCTCACTTGCCCATGACCTTGAACACATGAGTAACTTGTCTGAGTCTGTGTTCTCATTTGACCTCATAAAGCTCCCATGATGGCAAAAGTGATTCCAGCAGAATCCCCTTCCTCTCCCAGAGCCCCAGGCTACCAGCCAGCACTTGCCTCAATCTGCATCGTCTTGGGCTGGATGACATGTATTTTGTTCTTATAGCCACACCAGACACGGTCGTACACGACGGCCATGCAGCGGATGGAATGGTGTGGGTGGCCCAAATCCATCAGGTGGTAGTTGCTCAGGTCCCACTGGCCATCTGGAGAGCACCCAGGACACCTGCTCAGGCCTGGCTGGGGCCCACCTCTGCTCTTGGGCCAGAGCTGGAGATCCCCTTGCCAGGTTGAAGATGGGTCCTGGAGAACCTAGAGAGCTCCCTGGGCCAGTCTTGGTAAGGCCACCAGCTGCCGCCCACCTGCCCAGTGCCATTAGGCCTTACCTTCTCCACGGTGAAAGATGGCCAGAGTCCCATCTGCCAGTGCCACCAGCACACGGCCTTTGACATGCCTGAAGGGGGAAGGTGGTAAGACAGGCTCAAGCTGTGACAGAGGGTGGCAGGCCAGGCCACCTTAGCAACCCCTCCCAATGCCTAGCCCTTGGCTGGGGGTCACCTACACCAAGCTCAGCACTGAATCCTTCAGCTTGATTGAATGCAGGCACTTCTTCCAGTCGGCCACCGCAGAGTGCACATATAGCCTGCGGGAGGGTGTTGGGATGGGCAGGGGCTCACCCAGGGGCTTTCCCCCCACCTGCCCCAGGGCCCTGCCTACCAGCCATTCTGGGCTCCTAGCCACATGGTGGGTGCAGCACTGCTGCCTGCTCCTGCCAGGTCTCCACTGGGCTCTGGCTCGGGCTGTACACCACTGCTGTCAGGATCTGGCCCATTCTCACTGTGGGAGAGGTTGTCCAGGGTAGCCCCATGACCCTGTATCCCATGCCCTGCCCACCTCTGCCAGGCACTCCTCTGCACCCCTCTCTGCTCCAGCCTGTGAGCCCACCTGCCAGGCTGGGTGCTAGAGGGTGGGGCGGGGGCCGGGTCAGTGAAGACATGTTCTGTGAGTGGCCCAGGCCGCACTGCAGCTGCCTCTGGCTCGCTAGGCCCAGGGTCTGGCACCTCTGTGGCCTCCGTGGCCTCTTCTGTGGACTGGGATGGGTTGACCTTCCCATTAGCGACGGCAGCCACTTCCCCTGTGGGAGGAGAGGTGAACGTGGACAAGACAGGGATGTAGGAATGAGGGGACAGAGAAAATTCCACCCAAGACTCACCTTGCTCCTTATCCAACACTGGGGTGTCCTCTCGGGAGGAGCAGTTGCTACGTGGCACATTGCAGCGTGTGGCACAGCCTACCAGGGTGATGCCAGCCAGCACGCCATCAGTGCTGGGGTCCTCTGGGTTCACGTCGCTGTCAAGGAACATCTCCCCTGGTGGGTAGTCATTGTCGCTGGCCGCTGGGAGGAGGAGCACATTACTTAGGGCCACACCCAGATCCTACACCCTGGTGGGGGCCAGTCTTTGGCTCTCCCCCAGAGAGGACCTACTCTCCACACTTGGCACCATATGGCTGGCAAGAGCTTCAGTTCACTCTGTGGGCTGGGCCCTGGCTGAGGTAGAACTGAGTACTAAGACTCTGGTCCTGGGAGAAAACTGGGACTCCCATGACAGACTCTCAATAACTCTAAGAAGTCAGCGCTATTTCAGCAGATAGCCTGCAGTTTCATACCACAGACCTCCCAAGTCCAGACCAGAGACCCGTTGTTACCCCATTCCTGCATGCAAGGCTGGGTCTGGGCCTAGAGCAGTGGTTCTCAACCTTCCTAATGCCTCCTAATGCTGCGACCCTTTAATACAGTTCCTGATTTTGTGGTGACCCCCAACCATAAAATTATTTTCGTTGCTACTTCATAACTGTAATTTTGCTACTGTTATAAATCGTATTGTAAATATCTGATATGCAGGATGTATTTTCATTGTTACCAAGGGGTCATGACCCACAAGTTGAGAACTGCTGGCCTAGAGAGTCACCATATGACTTCCCAAGCCAGTAACACTAAGCCCCTCCCCACCAAACCCCAGCTCTTGGACTGACAGTGGAATTTGGGGACAACTGGAGGTTTTGCTGAAGAAACAGCAAGAAACATTTCAACCTGTGGCCTGCACTGTGACCTACCTATTGCCTCTGACCAGGAAAGTGTAACAAACTGAGTCAGCAATTAGACAGTGGAATGAAGAGGCCAGCAAGCTTCCTCCTGGACATCAGGTATACTGCCTCACTTCACTGGGCACAGCCAACTCCCACTGTCTGCTCACATGCTCCTGTGTCCATAGGATGCCACAGAAGGTGGGTGCTACGTGGCAGGCCTCTTTATTTCATGTCCTAACTGTTCCTTTGTGAGAAGGAACAGCCAACCTTCCCTGAGACACCCTTACGGTGCAGGGGCCAGGCTCACCAGGGATGCTGGAAATGCATAGGACATGGGCGTTGCAGACTGTAAACTGGTCCACAACAGTTCCTGGCTGGTTGGCATCGATGATCACCACCTTGCTGGTGGTCAGGGTGCTGGTGAGGATCCACACCCGGCTAGAGGTGGCATCTGTTTCAGGAAGCTCCTTTGCCTGTTACAGAGCACAGGATCAAGGCAGCAGCAGCAGCATTGCGGGGGGGGTGTGTGTCCCACAATATCTTGGGATCTAGTCTCAACTATGGCCTTAGAGGCACAGCTGTCTTCCCTGTGGCCAGGAAACTTTATCTAAATTGCTCACATATATGGTCTCACTCTGCAGAGGAAGACCATGAGCTCCCAGAGGTTGTCACTGACCCCAAATCAAGCAAGGACTCCAACTGGGAAGCATGTTCTGCCTCCTCTGTGTTCAGCCCCTTCCCAGCCTGCTTCTCTGCAGGCAGTGAGATGTGCTCCTTGCACACAAAGCCACAGCCCTGATGTCTGCTGTGCCCAGGCCCCTCAGTAACCCTTGCCAACTGAGAGGGTGTGCACAGTGCCAGGGCTCCAAGGCCAGGACTGCCAGCTGCCATGGGGGCCCAGGAACTCCTGCCTCCTCCACCTAGTCTCAGAGAACTGTCCAGCTGTCCTGTCTCTGTCACTCCTAACTAGACTCTAGCTGAGCTGTCCAGAGACCAAGAGCAGGAGAGGGCTACAGGGATCAACTAGGCCAGTCACCCTGACCTTCTTCTTCTCGGGAGACGTGTGGTTGCTCTTGGGCTCATCATCCACTTCCCGGTCACAGGTCAGAGGGTCACGACCTGGCATGGGCTTGACCCCATTCCCAGGGTCATCCTCAAGAGGCTTCCACCCGCTCAGGTTGACGCCTGCGGCACACCATAGCTGCAAGGACAGGGCCATGGGGTCAAGAGTTCTTTCCTCTGCTGACTGACTAGAGTGAGATGAGGCCTCCTCGGGCTTCCCAAACCTGCCCCAGTCACCTTCATGGTTGGGTCCTTCTCCACCAGGGGCCGACAGTACACGGGGACAGGCACGTTCTTCATCCTTGTGTCCTCCTGGGCCCCACTAGGACTCAGCTGCAAAAAGCAGGAGGGCACTGAGAGTGAGGCCTGGCCTGCTACTCCTTCCTCAGAAACCTGGGGCCTGATGTGCCTACCAGCTCTGGCTATAGAGCTAGCCCAGGCAGGAAGGACCTGGCCCTCCAAGTCCTCTGTAGGGGGGCTGTGAGTGCTACAGTGCTCCTTCTACCCCCCCTGCCCCCCCCCAGCTTTAGACTGCCTGCCCAGGAGGCTGCTTAGGGAGCCAACAACCTGAGGGGCTGCTTTAGTCTGGCCCACCCGCCTCACGCACCTGCTTGTACTTGGCCGGCAGACTCCAGCCACAGGCCTGTAGCCGCCCATCATCGTTGCGCACGTGCTCACGCACCTGGCGGTACTGCTCACGCTTCTGCTCTCGTCTGGCAGAGGATGTGCAGTCGCTGGGTGGAGGGAACAAGTGATATGTGGGCGGCGCCTGTGGCTCAAAGGAGTATGCCAGCCTCATATGCCAGAGATGGCGGGTTCAAACCCAGCCTCAGCCAAAAACCGCAATCCCCCCCCCAAAACAAGTAACATATTTGTCCAAGGTCGAGGCCCACAGGCCTGCCCCATCAGATGGTGGGGTGGTGGGGGGGGTACTCCAGAGGAGGCTGTGACAGGGAGGCCTGCCTAGGCCTGTCCTCGCCTTTTCTGGGCATCAGGCATCTACGTGATGGAAAGGTGGCTTTCTCCAGTACCAGGTGTGGCCCTGGGCTCAGTGGCCACATCTACCACCAGCCTGACTGTGAGCCCATTGTGTTGTCATGATCATCAATGGCTCAAAAGCCCAGGCCAAGGCTCGGCGCCTGTGGCTCAAGTGGCTAAGGCGCCGGCCACATACACCTAAGGTGGCGGGTTCGAATCCAGCCCAGGCCTGCCAAACAACAATGACGGCTGCAACCAAAAAATAGCCAGGTGTTGTGGTGGGCGCCTGTGGTCCCAGCTACCTGGGAAGCTGAGGCAGGAGACTCACTTGAGCTCAGGAGTTGGAGGTTGCTGTGAGCTCGGATGCCACAGCACTCTACCCAGGGGGACAGCTTGAGGCTCTGTCTCAAAAAAAAAAAAAAAAAAAAGCCCAGACCAAGATGCTCAGTGATTCTGTGTGGGACATGGGCCCAAAAGGCTGTAGCAGTGTGTGCATGCAGAGGTCATGAACCCTGACACCTTGACCAGCATCCTGAGAAGTGAGGCCAACTCTGTAAGTCCTAAGAGGAGGGCCCCTGGACACATCCGTCCCTCCCCTTACAGTTGAGAAGACAGGCTGTGTGACACTCACTCCTCAGGGAAGAACTCCAGAGGTCGGCTGCCTGCTGAGATCTGGCACATGGCATGGCTGCGGCGCTGGCTAAAGCCCGCCGTGGTGGGCGACTTATAGTGGATGTTCACTGAGGGGTAGGACCGCTTGGCTGGAGGGGGGCTAGAGGAGGAGCTGAAGAGGCGGCTGAAGCTGCCGGGGCACAGGGATGTGAGGGGCAGCAGTGGATGGGGAAGCTTCCCCATCTCCCCCAGCATCTGCCCCCACACCCTCTTGGGCATGCCCAACTCACAATTGCCAGATGGTGGACTTCTTCTTCTCTTGGACAGATGGGTGCTCTCGGGATGCTCTATAGGGAAAGGCCAGAGGAAGATCACTGAGCCCCTGCAGATTCCCACCAGGGAGGCTCCAGCACCCTCAGCCTTCCCAGGAGAGAGGAAGTGTGATGACAGTGACCACAGCTCATGTATGGAGGCAGCAGTCTCCCGGGACCAGGCTCACCTGATCATCTCAGTCCACCGCACAGCTTCCTGCAGCTCCATCAGCCGTTCCTTGTACTGGTTCCGCTCCATGAGCACACGGGCCATCTCCACCCGTGTGAAGCGGCGGCGCTGGGCCATGGGAATTTTGTCCTGCAGAGGAAGGGGCACCAGGGCTCAGCCTCCAAGAGCCAGGCACAGTCCCTGCAGCTTCCTCACAGGTGCTTGCCCCCTGGGTGGAGGGGCGTGGCTCCAGCTATGAGGATTTCCCACACACCTTTGGGATTGTGGGGATTGACTTTTTCTACAACTCTCTGGACACTCTGGACAAGCCCAGATGCCAGTGGGAGCAGGCCTAGGAAAACTGACAAGAAGGGAAGGTCTAGCCAGCAAAACTTGAGGTTTCTGCAGACTTGTATGAATTTGCCCATCTGCTTTCCATAGCCGAGCCCTGGGCTCCAGTGGGACTGGGCAGAGCCCAACAGGGAGCTGCTGGGGAGCCAGGGCACCCCTGGAGAGTGGGCAGATGGGAGTCTCCCCACACGACCAACTACCTGGTATCCTGCATTCTCAGGTACATTTCCCACCACATGCCTGGAGCAAGGGAGCCCAGGCCTAGGATGAAGAGCCCAGGTATAGGCCTGGCAGCTCCTTCTGACACAACGTGGGAGGGGACTGGGGGTTATAATTCACCTTCAGCTTTCTCTCCTGGAGTATTTGGAGGTGGGGGGCTGTACATGATGGGCTGAGACACATGACTTCACTTTAACCTCACCATGACCCCAAGTGACTGAGCTAAGCAGTGGAAGGTCCGAAGCTGGTGTGACCCAGTGAGATGGGTGCCAGCTGCCTCATCACCCCCGTAAGATGGATGCCGGCGGCCTCACAGCATCCTCACACCACCCCCCAGGTTGGAGGAAGGGGAAAAAGAGGTAAATGAAATGATGCCAAGTATCATTATTCTTAAATCTGTCTGGATTGGGCCAGAACAGGACATTAAGAAGGGATGGGCCAAGAAACTATCATCGCGGGAGTTAATGAGCTAAGTGCTGTGACAAATTGTTTTTTTTTTTTTTTTTT